CTCCCTCCCTCCTCCTTTCTTTCTTTCCTCTCTTTCTCTCCCCTCCCCCCTTCTTTCCTTTTCTTCCTTCCTTCTTCCGCTCCCTCCCTGCCTTTCCTTTCTTCGTCCCTCCTTCCTTCCTTCCTCTCCCTCTCTCCTCCCTCCTTTCTTTCCTCTCTTTCTCTCCCTTCCCTCCTTATTTCTTTCTTTTCCTTCCTCCTTCCCTCCTTCCTTCTCTTGTTCCCTCCTTTCCTGACGTTGTTTCTTCTTCCCTCCCTCCTTCCTTCCCTGCCCACTGATGACCCCCTGAATAGCCCCTGGGGGGGTGGAGGGAAACCGCCAGAAGCAGCCCCCTCCCCACCTAAGGTTCAACTGAGCAGTTAATCTCCCCTTTTGGGGGGGCTTCCAGGGAGACCCCCCCTTAAAACCCCCATCCACTCCCCCTTTCCTCCTGGAGTCAGCACCAGTATTTAATTTCCTTCTTCTGTCCTTTGACGCAGACTCCCATTTTGCAAAAAAAAATAAAAATAAAAAGGGTCAGCTTTTTAAGGCTGTTTTTTTTTTCTTCTCTCTCTCTCTCTTTCTCTCTCCTTCCAGGTTCATGTCTTTTTTAAGCTGGCTTCTTTCTTTTTCTTTTTCGATTTAAAACAAGGAGGGGAATAAAGAGAGAGAGGGGAAACCACCACCCCTTCCCCGAGGGTCCTTCGTAGACATGTTTTCTTCCGGACGTAACTAGAGGAGAAGTTTTTTGTTTTTGTTTTTTCCCCCTTCCCAGGTCTTTGATTGATTTTTATTTTTATTTTGGGTTGTCGTTTTTTCATTTTTAAATATTATTTTTTATGGTCGTTGTAAAGAGACGTCGGATGTGACTTTATAAAGTGGGTGTTCCTTTTTATGTTTCTTTTTTTCCCCTTCCCGGCGACGGAATAAAGTTCTGATAGACTTGAGAAATTATTTCCCTGAGACCCAAAGAAGAAGAAGAAGAAAAATCCCATTTTTTCCTGCCACTACTGTCAAAGCATGGGGTTTCCCTGTTGTTTCCCCCAATTCTGTCTATTTCCTCATTCAATAAATTGTTACAGATGTGTCCAGAGGTTGCCCTTCTTTCCCATTTCTTTGTCTGCTGCAGCCCAGGACAGAAGTCACAAGGGAGGTGGCTTATCCCAGGTGTGTCTCCAAACTTGAAGACTTGCGGACTTCCATTCCCAGAATTCCCTAGTCAGCCACGCTAGGAGTCTCCAAACTTGCGGACTTCCATTCCCAGAATTCCCAGAATTAACCCTCTGGGGCCAGGCGCATGGCTAGCTGTGGTTCAGCCACCATTGTCTTAGCAGGTTGTGTGAATCAAATGGTCCCCTTCAACTACAGTCAGTCCTCGATTTACAAACACAACCGAGCCCACCATTTCCCTCCACTGAGCAAGACCCTTGTGAAGTGAGTTTTTTCCCTGTTTTACGACCTTTCCCGCCTCTCCCTGCCCCTCCCTTGATTAAGTGAATCAACTCTGAAGTGAATCTGGCCTCCCATTGACTTTGCTTCTCATGAGATCACTTGACTCGGGGGCACAGCCACCGTCATAACCGTGAGTCGGTGGCCAAGAGTCCAGTTTTTTTTTTATGATCCCGTCCTGCTGCGATTTGTCCTATGTGTAAAAAAAAAAATGGTCGCTTTTTTCCACTGCCCTTGCAACCAGTCCCACTAAACCAAAGTTTGTAAGTCGAGAACCATCTGCATTGTGGGGATCCGTTGGCAGCCACGATGTCTGTCGACCTGAATTCAGAGCCGAGCATCCCCCGTCGGGCTGCGTCTTAACGAATCGCCGAGCATCCCTAACTCCGGTTCAGCCGGCCAAATCTTCAAACAGGGAACCAGGATCTGTTTCCAACAGTAGAGGTGCCTAACGACAGACAACAGAGTCGGAAGGGACTTTGTCGGTCATCTAGTCCAACCCCCTGCCCAAGCAGGAGACCCTACACCATTTCTGACTGAAGGCAGTCCAGTCTCTTCCTGAAAGCTTCCAGCGATGAAGCTCCCACAACTTCTGAATAACAGAATAATAACAGGTTAAACGGAGGTTGGAAGGGACCTTGTAGGTCATCTAGTCCAACCCCCTGCCCAAGCAGGAGACTACACCATTTCTGACTGAAGGCAGTCCAGTCTCTTTCTGAAAGCTTCCCGCGATGAAGCTCCCACAACTTCTGAATAACAGAATAATAACAGGTTAACAGAAGTCAGAAGGGACCTTGTAGGTCATCTAGTCCAACCCCCCCCTGCCCAAGCAGGAGACTACACCATTTCTGACAGAAAACAGTCCAGTTTCTTCTTGAAAGCCTCCAGGGATGAAGCTCCCACAACTTCTGAAGGCAACTTCTGTTCCATGGGTTGATGGTTCTCACTGTCAGAAAGTTTCTCCTTATTTCCAGGTTGAATCTCTCCTTGTTCAGTTTCCATCCATTGTTCCTTGTCTGGCCTTCCAAGTGCCTTGGAGAATAGCTTGACCCCTTCCTCCTCCTCTCTGTGGCAGCCCCTCAAATACTGGAAGATGCTCTCCTGTCTCCCCTGGTCCTTCTCTTCCCTAGACCAGCCAGGCCCAGTTCCTGCAACCGTTCATCGTATGTTTTAGCTTCCAGTCCCCTCATCATCCTGGTTGCTCTTCTTTGTACTTTTTCTAGAGCCTCAACATCTTTTTTTATAGTATGGTGACCAAAATGGATGCAGTACTCTAGGTGTGGTCTTATTAAGGCCTTTTTTTTTTTAAACTGGGGAGAATCCCTGCTTTGAGATCTTAAGAACTGGGGCCAATTATGGCTTATAGCTATTTAAGCTTCTAAGCCCAGAGCTGACGGTGAAATCAGCTGTCTGCATCACTCAGAATCAAGACATTTTTAGGTACATGTCTATGGAGATTCTCCACAATCCAAGTCAGGGTTGTCCCAAAGGTGCTTTTATTTCAAGAGGCAACTGGACCCTCTGGTTTTTCTTTTGAAGACGTTTTCCTTCTCATCCCAGAAGCTTCTTCAGGTCTGGAGGTTGTGGATGGAAGGACTGATACTCCTTGCAGGCAGCTGGTCATTTGCATCCTTTTAGGTGCAAACCTGACTTAACCACCGTGTCGCCTAGCAACAACATTTTTGAACTCGATTGTGGTCGTAAATCAAGGAGTACCTGGATGTCCAAAAGAGTGGGAAGTATTCTTGGTTTCACACAACCAACACTCCCCAGGTAAGAACCTGACTTGGCTCCTGGAAAACATAGTTTTCTTTGCTGGATTCTGGTTTGATCAGTAACCCGTGATAGAGAAATCTCTCCGTTGGGCTGATGGACAGACTGGCATAAATCTTTGGATTGCTTTTACTGGTCCAGAACCGTTTAAAGTCACGGTCTGAATGCCCGATTTGACTTTTTAAGACCTAAACAGCTTAAGGCCCAGTTCTCAAAAGAGGAATCGTCCGTAAGCTGAGCTTATCCAGACATTAAGGTCACCAACCCAGGATTCTTAAAAGTAACTCTTTCCCCCTGTTTGTACAAAGCACAGGAGAAGAGATACTACCACTTTACAAAGCCTTGGTCAGACCACACTTGGAATATTGCATCCAATTTTGGTCGGCACGATATATTAAACAAAAAAGATGTTGAGACTCTAAGAAAAAGAAAAAACAACTTAGATGATCACAGGCCCGGAGACTAAAACAAACGAAGAAAGTTTGCAGGAACTGAGTTTGGCCGGTCTAGAGAAGCGAAGGACTAGGGGAGACATAATAGCAGTCTCCCAGTATTTGAGGGGCTGCCCCAAAGAAGAGTGAGGGGACAAATTATTCTCCAAAGCACCAGAAAGCATGAAAAATAAACAATGGATGGAAACTAATCAAAGAGAGGAAAAAAAACTGGAATTAAGGAGAAAATTCCTGACATTGGAAACAATTAATCAGTGGAACAACTTGCCACCAGAAGTTGTAGGAGCTCCAACACTGGAAATTTTTAAGAAGAAATTGGACTGGAATGATATAAG